GTTCCACCAGAAGACGACGGCGGATTCCTTTTGACCAGCTGTCGATTGGCTTTACTGAAACATTCATGCTAATGCGGTTTCCGAAGCAATCTTCTTTGATTCCGGTGAAAAGGTGCTTAGCTTTCGTCCGTCATATGACGGGCATCATCAGAGCGAGGTACCATCGTCACAACAAAATTCAAGCTAACGAGTCAAGTAGACTATATATGCCACTTTTTAGGAATTTTCCGGTGAGTTTCCGTGACTCGTATGCTTGAATTTGGTTGTGAAGATGGTACATCGCTCTGATGATGTCCGTCATATAAAGCACGAAAGCTTAGCACCTTTTCACCAGAATCGATAAAGGTTGTTTGAAAACAGCGTCGCCATGAATGCGCCAGTAAAGCCAATCGACAGCTGGTCAAGAGGAATTCGTCGTCGTTTTCTGGTGGAACCGACCTTCGAATCTCTTCAGCCAACACTTTCGCTCTGAATGAAAGTAAGCTCAACAATCTACTGAAAGTCATTCCTTTCTGGGCCAAAGAAAAAAGGTACAACTTGATGCGTTAACAACATGTTAGAAACCTTGTTGGGTTGCGTCTATGCCCGACTCTGTGGGAATTTCGTTAGTCGATGCGTCATGAAACTGATTTTTGTGTAGTCCATTCTCAGGAGAATTGAGACGGTGTGAGATTTGCTGGCTAGCCTGCCTGCACCAAACAGAAAAAGCATACTTTGGACTAATTAACTGCAGTCATGCCGAAGGGCAGAAAATCAGAAATTCTGATAGAATAATAAGCGTGTTGAGGCAAAATTTGCATTTACTTTTCTCGAGCATATTTTTTTCCCTTCACAACGTCAAGCCCGACTGCATCAATTTCCGATGGGAAATGCAAAGTAAACGTCAGCTCTACTCATATCATTGTGGAAAATTCTATTACCAGCCCTTCATCACCTTACACGAAATAGGATGAATATACATCTCAGATTACTGATTTACTAGTAGCCTCAAAGCTCTACTTACATACCAAAAAAAATAAGTAACATAATCGAGCTTAGGGGCAAACAATTATTGTTTCATCAACATTATTGACCTAAATGTAATTGGAAAGGGTCTGGTTGACAGAGCCGGTCACAACTGCCTCGTGACGTTAAACGGAGTGATGAATTTTCGACCTGTAGACCAGTTTGGACGAGGAAACATTTTGGAGCAATAAAATGGCATTGTGAAGCTCACTTATGATAATGTAAAAAAAAACTCCACCATCAATTTCCAGATCTATTTTAGCGATATAGGATCATCAGACATTTAAGGCCAAGCTTCGGCAAGGAAGAAGTCAGACAATGGTCGAGCTTGGGACGAGGTACGAAAGTGGCGTTAAAGAGTTGGTTGGGCTCTAGGGCCCTGCCTTAAACGTCCATTTGATGCCACCCAAGGATGTCCCACCCACACGAAGAGGGCGCTGTAACACGGCCAAATGCTTCGCTCCCATCAATCTGGTATGTTTCCTTCATTCATCCTTCTGACCAGCCGCAATCAGCATTTCATGTTTGGCATGGTTATCCCGTTTTCATAAAGGATGGTATTCAAAGCCATCAGTTCCAGTCACCATTGGCGCATAAAGTGGTGAATAACTGATGGTCGAATATTCACGCAGTAAAATTAAAATGTTTCATTTATTTCTTATATAAGGAGTATTCACTCTATTTTGGTAACGTGATGAAGGACTGATAGATGAATTGTCCTAAATTCATATGAGTAGACCTTGAATTTCCCACAACCTTAATTGTTTCATAAACTAAATTTTTCAAATGTAATTATCCGTCGTTTTCAGGTGATACCAATCCATAAATACCTTCCATCCAAGTTTTCCATAGAAATGAAAACTAACGTGACAATAAAGCACCGAGAGAATCGTAGAAAACTAACTATACTTCATACAAACGGAATAAGATTTTATTCATCAAAGATGAAGGACCGATAATTGAATTTTCCCACTTTTCTGTGAGTAGGCCCTACGGTCCCACTGAAATTTATATTTTAGGAAACGAGGCTAATTGAAACCTTATATGAGATGTATTCACCATATTTGTTTTAATGTGATGAAGGAGTGGTTGTGCAATTTTCACACAGTGCCATAAATCTTGTTTAAAGTTTACATAGCCTTGTTTCCAAACCAGTGTTCTCATCGATGCGGGTGTGAACTGTAGTTTCTATTTCGCCTGAGCTGGTCTCATCTGCAACCCCAGCGAAACTCAAGTCCAATTCCGCATAATCTCAATGGGTTCGGATGAGAGCACCTTTAGGGAAGCAAGGAAGACATAGGGTATATTTATAGGATTGTGTGAAAATTCCACTACCAGGCCTTCATGACGCTAATAAAATAGAGTGA